TGGGCACCCGCCCCAGTCTTTCTTGTCCTCTCTCCCCTGGACTTTTCCCTTTATGGGCAGTGAACCTCCTCCTCCTCCGCCTCCTCCTCCTCCTCCTTGCGGGGGTGGCTCGGATCAGGCACATTTGAATTCAAGTGTGTCCAGCCTTGCGATGCGTTCAACGGAAGTGCTGGGCGCTGCGAGTTTGCGGCTGAACCTGCTCATGGAGGGTACTCGAGCCGAGACGAGACGAGAGAGAGAGAGAGAGAGAGAGAAAGAGAGAGCGAGGGAGGGAGGGAGGGAGGGAGGGAGGGAGGGAGGGAGGGAGGGGGGAGAGGAGGAGGAGGAGGAGTAGGAGGAGAGGAGGAGGAGGAGGAGGAGGAGGAGAGGAGAGGAGGAGGGAGGAGGGAGGAGGGAGGAGGGAGGAGGGAGGATGATGATGAGGAGGAGGAGGAGGAACAGTTTCAGTAAGGGTAATAGTAATACTAATACGACCCCTAATGATACTATGGATAGTAACGATATTACGAACACTACTATGACTAATACTACGACTAATCCTAATCATACTCATAGCAATAAGAAGAAAACGACAACGACTAGTAATAATACGAAGACATGAAGAATAATACGAATCTCAAAAACAATGATAATGCGACTGATGATAGCAATGAGTATGCTAATATGATTCATGCGACAATCAAGACGAACAACAAGAACACGACTACTAGTCATGATAATAGTATGGCTGCTATCACGAGGAAGAATGCGAATCGTAGTACTATTCAGAAGAATATTAATAATAATAATATTCCCTACCCAGGCTCTGCCTAGAAGGGTTCTTACTCTCTGGGCTTAAAGGGCCGGGCAGTGCAAATCGCCCCGGGCGGTTCCCCCAGTATCCGCCCCGCGGTTCCCCCAGCTACGTTTCCTTAGCTTAACGTTGCTTATCTCATCTTAGCTTAGCCTATGCCATCTTAGCTTAGCTTAGCTTCATCTTAGCTCAGGTTTATCTTAGCTTAGCTTACCTTCATAGTAGCTTCGCTGAGCTTTAGCATAGCAGAGCACAGCATAGCATAGCGTAGCATAGCATAGCGCAGCACAGCATATCATAGCATAGCCCAGCATAGCATGGCATAGCATAGCGCAGCATAGCATAGCATAGCATAGCATAGCGCAGCACAGCACAGCACAGCATAGCACAGCGCAGCATAGCATAACATAGCATAGTATAGCGCAGCACAGCACAGCACAGCATAGCACAGCGCAGCATAGCATAGCATAACATAGCAGAGCATAGCATAGCATAGCAGCAAAGCAAAGGCAAAGCAACAGCAGCGACAGCAAAACAAAGCACAAGCAACGCAAAGCAAAGCAACGCAAAAGCAAAAGCAAAGCACAGGAAAGGCAAAGCAACAGCAAAGCAAAGGACAGGCAAAGCAAAAGCAAAAGAAATGCAAAGCAAAGAAAAGGCAAAGCAAAGCACAAGCAACGCAAAGCAAAGCAAAGCAATCGTCGTCGGTCGGTCGTCGTCGTCGTCATCGTCGTCGTCGTCGTCGTCGTCCCCCCCGCCTAGAGCAAACAAAAAAACGGATCCGTGGGCGACGCCGCCGCTGCCGCCACTGCCGCCGCTGCCACCTGCTCCTCCTCGTCATCCTCACCGTCATCCAGCTCCTGGTCCTCCTGCCCCGGATCTGTGGGTGTATTGTGTGGCGCTCGTGTGTGCCAACCGCGTTGCCAGTTTAGTTTTCTGTTCGGGTAATTAGCATGGGTGTAATTCCCCACCTAGGCTCTGCCTAGAGGGTTAGCTTAGCTTAGCTTAGCATAGCGCAGCGCTGCATTAGCATAGCATAGCATAGCATAGCATAACATAGCCAACCATAGCATAGCATAGCATAGCATAGCGCCGCATAGCATAACATAGCATAACATAGCACAGCATAACATAGCATAGCGCAGCTTAGCATACCATAGCATAGCATTTCATAGCTTAGCATAACGCAGCGCAGCATGACATAACATAGCTTAGCATAGCATAGCAGACCATACCATAGCATAGCACATCATATCATAGCATAGCATATCAGGGTATAGCATAGCACATCATACCATATCATATCATATCATATCATAACATAGCGCAGTATACCATGGCATAGCATATCATAGCATAGCATATCATATCATAGCATAGCAACTACTGTTGCTTTCCTAGGAGCTCCAACTTCTAGGTAGGGTCGCACTGGGGTAATTAAAATATAGTACACATCATAATAATCATTGAATACTATCAGTATTATGAATGAGATGGAGGAGGAGGAGGAGGAGGAGGAGGAGGAGGAGGAGGAGGAGGGGGAGGAGGACAGGAGGAGGAGGCGGAGGAGGAGGAGGCGGAATCACTTCAGCCGTGCAGCACTGCGGTCACAGTTGCCCCTGGCCCCCCTGGCAGGTGCAGCCGCGCACGCAGGCGGGGGCGCGGCGCAGCCGAGGCCCGCCGCCGACGCCGCGGGCCGGGAGCCGGCCGCTGGCGGGAGCCCGGGGTCCGCCGCCGCCGCGAGGCCAGAGCCGGTCGGAGGAGGAGACGGGAGGATGGGCAGGTCCTCCTCCTCCTCCTCCTCCTCCTCCTTTTCCTCCTCCTCCCTCCTCCTCCTCTTTTCCTCCGCCTCCTCCTCCTTTTCCTCCTCCTCCTCCTGCTCCTTTTTCCTTCTCCTCCTCCCCCGCCTCCTCCTCCCCTTTTCTCTCCTCCTATCCTCCTCCTTTTCCTCCTCCTCCTCCTCCTCCTCCTTCCTCCTCCTCCTTTTCTTCCTCCCTCCTCCTCCTCCTCTTCCTCCTTTTCCTCCTCCTCCTCCTCCTCATCCTCCTCTTTTTTCCTCCTCCTCCTCCTTCTCCTCCCTCCCCCTCTTCCCTCCTCCTCCTCCTCTCCTCCTTCTTCTCCTCTCCTCCTCCTCCTCCTCCTCCTCCTCTTCCTCTTCCTCCTTCTCCTCCTCCTCCTCCTCCTCCTCCATCGATGGTCGAGCTGTGGTCGGTCAGCTGGCTGGCTGCCGAGGCGAGGAGCTGGCGCCCAGCCAGCAGGGGGAGGCCACGGGGACCAGGGAGGCGAGAGTCGAGGGGCCGGGCCCGAGGCCGGGTGGAAACAGCAGAGTCCCAGCCCCGCCGCCCATCGGGTTGCCCGAAGGGTGGAATGGGCCCAGGAGGATCGAGGATCGAGGATCGAACTTTGTTGGCGTGGTTTTGTTTCATCGTCCTGTGTGTCTTTGTTTGGCTCCTCCTCGTGTGTCTGTGTGTGCGTGTTGTTTCGGGGTCCTTTTGGTTTCCCCTTCCTCTTTCTTGTTCCGTTGTTCGTTCCTGGGGGGGGCCTCCCGGAGCGCCCTCGTGGCCACGGCCAGGCCCGCCTCGGCGCCCTGGCCACCCAGACCCCCGACGTCATGACTTTTTCATGACGCGACCCCCAGAGGTTCGGACCCATTCCCAGACCCCCTCGGGTAATGAAAAAATCACGACGGGAGGTTTTTCGCCATTTTCGGCCTCTGGGGGCCCTCGCCGGGCCTCGGGAGCGTCAAAAAACGACTCAGGAGGACAAACCGGTCCTGGGGAAGGGGTCGAGAACTCTGGGGTCGACGTAACGAAAAAATCATTACGTCGGGGGTCTGGGTTCCCAGGGACCGGCTTCTCACCCCGAATCATTTTTTGACGGAGGCCGGCTCCTCCCCTGGAGGCCGAAAGTATAGCGCAAAACCTCCCGTCGTGATTTTCTCCTGACGCGAGGGGCTCTGGCCGGAGCGCGGCCCGGTCCCGGGGCAGGCCCCGGGGGCCGATCTCTCGAGGCCGCCCCGGCGCCGCCCCCAAGCCAGGCCGCGCCGCGCCGCCGAGGGCCCGCCGCCAGAGGCCGGGAGGCCCGCCGAGGGCGCGCCGCCCGCCGCCGCAGGCCCGGCCCCGCCCGCGCCGGCCGCTGGGGATCTCGAGGCGGCGGGCGGGCACCTGGCGCGGACGGCGCTGCTGCCGGCGGAGCCCGGGCCCGCGGGGGAGCTCGCCGCGAGGGCGCGGTGGGCGCAGGCCGCCGCGCCCGCGCCGTCGGGGCGCGAGGCCCCGCCCGCGACGGCGCAGGCGGCCCGTGCTGCGCCCCCTGCGGCGCCCAGTGCCGGCGGGGGGCCCTGGCCGGCAGCGGGCGCGCCAGAAGCGCCAGGCTGGCCGGGCGTGCCCGTGTCCGCGCGGGCGCTGGCGCGAGGCGCGGAGGTGGCGCCGCGGGGGGGCGAGCCCAGGGAGCCGGGCGGCGGTGCGGAGGAGCTGCTGGGGCTCTGGCGGGCCGAGCTGGGCGAGCTGCAGCGGCTGCAGCAGCGGCTGGACGCGCTCGCCGGCGACGCGAGCCAGCAGGCACGCCGCGAGGCCCTGCAGACGCAGGCAGAGCAGTTGCAGTGCTCCCGGCGGCTGCTGCGGCTGCGCGCCTCGTGGGCGCGCGCGGCAGCCGCGGAGTTGGCGCCGTCGCCAGTTGCGGCCGCGGAGCTGCGGCTGCTGCCGCCAGACGAGGCACGGCCGAGCGAGGTGGCACCACCGCGCCCAGGCGCCACCTTCGCCACCAGCAGCGCTCTGGGCGGCACTGTGTTCAGCACTGTTAGCAAAGAGCGCCTGCGCAGGGACCTAGTTCGCGCGAGCGAGGCCGCCACGGCGAAGCTGCGAGAGCTGGAGGTCGCCTGGGGCGGGCCTCTGATGGGGATGGGTACGGCTGCAGAGGCCTCGCCGCGGCCGCGCGCTGCGGGCGACCGCGCGGCGGTCGGCCGTGCTCGGGGGCTGGCGGACCGGGCGGGTGCGCTGTTGGACTTGGCAGACGCGTACTCGGCACAGGTGCTCGTGGCCGCGGTCGAGGGGCGAGGCGTGGCGCGCGCGCCGCTGGCCGAGCTCATCGCGCAGCTGGACGACCTGAGCGGGCAGATGGGCGAGGCGATCGAGCCCCTGCGCGAGGCGGCCTTTGAGCTGCACGTGGAGCGCTCACGGCGGCTTGCAGGCCAGCCGCCGCGGAGCGCCAGCGCCGTCGGCCGCGCGCCTCCGGGGGCGGAGTTCGCGGCGTCCGTGCTCCCGACGGAGCTGCCCTCGCGCATCCTGCAGCCGAGCCAGGCGGGGAGCTGCAGCGCGGGGCGCGCGGCCGGCGGCGTGCTGGAGTTCGCGGCCGGCATGCTGGAGGCGGTGGGGCAGGCAGCGGGCTGCTGCCCGCTGGCAGTCCTGGGCGGCCCCTACCGCCGCGCCCGGGGCGGCCAGGCGAGCGGGCGGCCCTCCCCGTGGCTGGCGGTGTGGGAGCGCGCGGCCCAGGGCCAGCGCGGCTGCTGCCAGGCGGCCGGGGGCTGGCTGGCCCAGTCGCTGCCCTGCCTGGCGGGCGCCGTGGGCCCCCCGCGGCTGCGCACAGGCCGCCCGCGCGGGCCTCCCCGGGCCCCTCCGCGGGCCGCCGCCGCCCTCGCCCCCGCGCGCAAGCCCGTGCTGCTCCTCCCCGCTTCCTCCCCGCTCCCTCCCCCTCTCTTCCGCCGGCGCTGCTGCCCGCCCTCCCCCTGCTCGGGGGCGGTCAAGAGGGGGGTGATGACTCATTCGGGGGGGGGGGATCTCATGGCGGGGGCCACCACATCTCCCCAGCTCTCATGGCGCCTCTTCTTATGTCATAACGTCCCCGGCCGCCACCCCTGGGCCGCGCACATGCCGCTGGCCATGATTTGCGCCCCCACCTCTTGGACGCCCCTCTTGGCTGCCCCCGACCTGCCGCTGCCGCTGCCGCTGGGGCAGTCGACGGCATCTGGGTCAGGGCGGCCCCCCTGCGAGCAAGTGGGGTCTCCACGCGCGCGACTGGCCTCAATGCAGGAGGGAGGGGAGGGCTACTTTGGCGGCTCCAGGTTCCAGAATCACTTGGAACGGTTCCGGAGTGATTGGGACATTCTGGCACTCACCTCTTCCAGTTCCAGAAACACCCCAGAACGGTTCAAGGGGTGCTTGTCTGTTTCAGGTTCCAGAAACCGCCTGGAACGTTTTCGGGGTGATTCCTGAACCTCAAGCTGGTCGATGGGGGACGAGGAGCTGGGGGGAATGGTGGAAGCTGTTTTCTGGGGGCGCTGAAGAGGATGGATGGTGGGGGGTGGGGAGTCCTACCCCTCCAAGTTAGGGGGGGGGTCGACCCCCCCCCTCGCGCCGGCAAGCAACGACGCTGACGACGACGATGCCAATGACGACGACCACGACGAAGATGAGGGTGGGGGTTACGTGCCAGCGAACGACTTCGACGGCGACGGCGATCACGCTGACGATGACGACGAGGTCGGCGGTGGCGACGACCATGACGACGATGATGACGAACAACGACGGCGACGCACGATGACAAAGGCGACGAAGACGACGCCGACGACGACGACGACGCTGACGCTGATAATGACGACGACGACGCTGACGACGACGACGACGACCCATGCAAGTGCCCGGGTGGAGTATCAACCACGACGACAAAGACGACGACGCTGACGTTGACGATGACGACGACGACGCTGTCGACGACGACGACGACCCATGCATATGCCCAGTTGGAGGATCAAGAAGGCGCGTGCGGCGCAGAAGGGGGAGCCCGATCTTCAAAATAAATGGTTCCCACCTTGAGGAAGCGAAAACATGTATGATCGTGAAGTATCGGAAACCTCACGCGATATCCCAATTTTGAGAAGGGATTGCCTTCTCATGGTGTAGGCAATTCATGAGAGTTTAACGCTTTGGGATCTCACGGCTTGAAGACGTATCAATCGAGAGCTAGCTTTTGAAAACTAACCAGGTGTGATGAAGTCAAAGGCGAGAGCCAGATCTTGAGAACGACCCGTGTCTCGTGTGTGCAACAGTTGGGGCACTTTACGTACTTTAGACCAGCCCGACCTCCATTTGGGCACATGCGATGCAATGAGATGCTACGCAGTGCACTTCAAACAAACACCGTCGTGCAAAGCATGATTAGATTAGTGCACGGCATCGTGCCGCATGGGGTACCATACGTATCATGACATACCAGCGTTGCAAAACATAGCACATCGTAGCATAGCCTGCTTTCTCGGACATCATGGCATAACATAACATAGTATGACATATATAGCAAGGAAAAGTGCGCAATACCGTAGCATTGTATATCATGGCGTATCATGCCATAGCGTTTCACATCTTCGCATGGTATAGGCTTTGATTGGATAGCGCAGCATGGCGTAGCAACACTGCGAATCACTGCATCTCACAGCACCGCCCTGCGTGGCATGTCATTGCGTAGTACGGCACGTCGCAGCATGGCACAGCGTGGCATGGCATGGCAGGGCATGGCATGGCACTGCGCAGCGTAGCACCTCGTAGCATGCCACCACACAGCGGCACCCAGCGACGGGGGCTCCAGGAACCGGCGACCGCGGCCCCGAAATCCACCGAGCGCGTTCCACTACTCGCAAAGTGCCCACTCGCAAACGCCCCGAAAAACACGTGTCTGATTCGATGCAGTTTGTCGTAGATCCCCCCCCGCGGATCCAGGCCATGTGCGAGTAGCCACTTTGCGGGTAGTGGAACGCGCTCGTCTAGAACTCGAGCCCGGGGGCTCGCGGGGATCCACGCCGACTTTTTCCCTGGCTCGACGCGTGTACGAGTAAATGCGTGCTGCCAGCACGGCCCCGCGCGGGGCCTCCGAGGCCAGAAGCGGCTGCGGAGTTTGGAGAGCCTTGCTGCAAGCCCGTCTCTCCCGCCTGTGCTGCGCTGCGTATGTCAGGAGGGAAAAAAACACACAGACACAATTGATCGTCGATTCCCCCCAAAAAATATGGGAAAGTATGGGAAGTGGGGGGGAAGACGAAAACCCAGAAAGTATGGGAAATATGGGGAATCTTTGAATTTGTGTGTATTTATTTGTGTGTCCTGGGGCCCCTTCAGTATGCAGCTACGTGCGCAGCTGGTTCAGACTGACCTTCGCAGGATGCTCGAAGCAACGTCGCATGCACCGCTGGAGCACGGCGGGCCCACCCCGGAGAAGCAGACGAAGCAGAAAGGGGGACCTTACCCCTCGGCCGTGCGCTGCCAGGAGTTGGCGGTCCCCCAGCTTGGTCGCCCGATCTCTTGGGGCCCCTGGACCTCGCGGTGTTCTGGAGACCATCTGGGCCTCCCAGGTGTTTGTTGTATGTTGTTTTGTTAGTGTGTTGTTTAGTTCTCGTTTTTTTTGTTCCATGGTTTTCAATTTTTTTTTTTTTTTTTTTTTTTTTTTTTTCTGGGGGCACACCGGGCCATGGACACCTCCAGCAACACCCGATTTGGGCAGCGCCTACCTGGGAAACTCTGGGGAAATCTCAGGCGAGACGCCAGGGCAGCCCTTCCAACATCGCCTGGTGATGCGACTGCGAGGAATGTTATATGGTTTCGGGCAAGGGACGAAGGAGGAGAAGGAGGAGAAGCAGCAGCATCGGGATGTGGAGAACTGGAATGACAACGGGGGGGAAAGGAGTATGGGAAGGAGGAGGAGAGGATCCGACGATGGTGGTGGTGATGCTCAGGAGGAATATCAGGGAATTTGAAGAGGGAGGGTGATAAACAGGAGCAGAGACAATGGAGGAACAGGAGGAGGAGGAGAAGAAGGAGGAGGAGGAGTAGGAGGAGGAGGGGAAGGAGGAGGACGAGGAGGAGGAGGAGGAGGAGGAGGAGGAGGAGGAGGAGGAGGAGGAAGGGGAGCAAGATGGCAAGGAGGAGGAGGGGGAGAAGGAGGACGAGGACCAGCGAAACCCAAGACTCATCAACGATGTTGGAATAAACCCTCCCTCCAAGCTCCCTCTTCAGAGGCCCCTACAAGGGTTCATTTCCCCAGCAAAGTGCCCCGTTGGGAGACGATCGTTTGAAGGTCCTGAAGCGTGCCGAATCATTATTCTCGGGATTCCAACCCCACGAATCAACCTGACTGTTGCGCCAATCGTGCCATAACACCATTCTTGGACTTCAACGCCGCGAATCAACGTAACTGTCGCGCCCTGGCAATCCTGAACCGTTCCAAACACACCATGTCTGGTACGTGAGCCATGGGAATACGAGAAAATCTTGCACACTTTTGAGACGAGTGTGCGCGGCGCTAGAGCGATAGCAACATGTTGAACCAGAACCGCCCTCAAGCCGGTTCTTGCAATCTTATAAGACGAATGTGCGCGGCGCTACGGGGAGAACCACATTTCGACGACATCCTGTCCTCAATCCGTGAAACATTTTACGAATTTTCAAGCGAATGCGCGCGGTGCTGAGGCGAACGCCACACTTTGAAAACCGCCCACCCTCAACCCGTGAAGCCCTTGCAATTGTTTCATACGGATGTGCGCGGCACTTAGACAAGAGCCACACTTTGGAAGCGACCCGCCCTCCATGTTTGAAACTGGTGCCAATTTCTCAGCTTCAGGGTCATACATGGCAAGGGAAACTCAGGCGAAATGCCTGGCCCGCCCTTCCGACTGGCCTCGGGGTGCGACAAGGAGGAGTTTTTGTTACAAGGCAGAATGGGGAGGAGAAGGAAAAGGAGGATGAGGAGGAGGAGAAGGAGGAGAAGGAGCAGGAAGGAGGAGGAGGAGGAGAATGAGGAGGAGGAAGAGACGGAGGAGCAGGAGGAAGAGGAGGATGAGGAGGAGGACGCGGAGGAGGGGCAGGGGGAGGTGAAGGAGGAGGAGGAGCAGAAGGAGGAGGAGGAGGAGGAGGAGCAAAGAGGACGAGAAGGACGGAGGAGGAGGAAGAGGAGGAGGAGGAGGAGGAGGAAGAGGAGGAGTAGGGGGAGCAGGAGCAGGAGCAGGAGCAGGATGAGCAGGTGGAGCATTATGATGACGATGATGTTGATGATGCTGATGCTGGTGACGATGATGATGATGCTGATGATGATGGTGATGATGCTGCTGATGATGATGATGATGATGATGGCGATGCTGATTCTGAAGATGATGCTGATGCTGATGATGATGATGACGACGACGATGGTGCTGATGCTAATGATGGTGATGATGCTGATGATGACGTTACTTATGGTGATGATGCTGATAATGGTGATGCTGATGCTGCTGATGATGATATAATGATGACGACGATGATGCTGATGATGATGAGGATGCTGATGCTGATGCTGATGCTGATGCTGATGCTGATGATGCTGATGATGCTGCTGATGATGCTGATGCTGATGCCGCTGCTGGTGATGATGCTGATGCTGATGCAGCTGATGGTGATATTGATGATACTGATGAAGATGCTGTTGTTGATGGTAATGTTGCTGATGATGCTACTGATGCTGATGATGACTACGACGAAGATGATGATGACGATGATGATGATGATCATGGTGGTTGTGGTGATGCTGATGAGGAGGAGGAGGGAGAGCAGGGGGAGGACGAGAGTGAGGAGGAAGAGGATGATGATGATGCTGATGATGATGCTGATGATGATGGTTTTGGTGATGATGATGCTGCTGATGATGAGGAGGATGATGATGATGATCAGGCTTGGGATGAGGATGAGGATGTTGAGGATGAGGAGGAGGAGTAGGCAGAGGAGGATGATGAGGAGCAGAGCGAGGAAGATGATGCTGATTTCGACGACGATGACGATGACTATGACGATGACGATGACGATGGCGATGACGATGATGATGATGATGATGATGATGATGATGATGATGATGCTCATTGTGATGATGATGATGATGATGATGATGCTGATGATGACGGTGATGATGCTGATGCTGACGCTGCTGCCGATGATGATGCTGATAACGATGATGGTGATGATGATGATGATGATGATGATGATCATGCTGATCATGATGATCATGAAGATCATGATGGTCATAATGTCGACGACCATGATGATGCTGATGATGCTGATGCTGATGCTGCTGCTGCTGATGATGATGATGAGGGTGCTGATGATTATGATGATGCTGATGATGCTGATGCTGATGGTGATGACGACGTTTACGATGATGATGATGCTGCTGCTGCTGATGATGATGATGACGATGGCGATAAAAATGGTGATGATGATGATGATGATGATGATGATGATGATGTTGATGATTATGATGATGATGATGATGATGATGATGATGATGATGATGATGATGATGATGATGATGATGATGATGATGATGATGATGAATGATGATGATGAGAGATGAGATGATGAGGATGAGGATGAGGATGAGGAGAGGATGAGGATGGATGAGGGATAGGAGGATGAGAGATGAGTGAGGATGATGAGGATGATGAGGATGGATGATGATGATGATGATGCTGCTGCTGCTGCTGCTGCTGCTGCTGATGATGATGATGATGATGATGATGATGATGATGATGATGATGATGATGATGATGATGATGATGATGATGATGTGGCTGGGGTTGGGGATGAGGATGATGATGATGATGATGAGGAGGAGGAGGAGGAGGACCATAATAAACCCAACATGCATCAACGATGCTGTAAGACACCCTCCAGTCCCAGAATCCCTCCTCGCGAGTCCCTGCAATCATGCCTTTCGCTGCGGGAGGCGCCGGCCCTTGGAGAACGACCGGCCCGTGAGCCCAGCACTCGAACGAGATCCCGTTTTGTGAAGGACTCGCCGTCCATCCTTCCATCTGGCCGTCCTGGCGCCGCGGCGCGTGCATACTGGCATTGATACCCGCATGCGCCTGGAAATGCAACATCCATGTCACCCTCCCTCCTCCCTCCCTCCTCTCCTCCCTCCTCCCTCCTCCTCCCTCCTCCTCCTCCCTCCTCCCTCCTCCTCCCTCCTCCCCCTCCCTCCTCGCTTCCTCCCTCCTCCCTCCCTCCTCCTCCCTCCTCCCTCCTCCTCCCTCCTCCGCATCTCCTCCCTCCCTCCCTCCTCCTCCCTCCTCCGCCCTCCTCCTCCCTCCTCCTCCCTCCTCCCGCATCTCCTCTCCTCCCCCCCTCCTCCTCCTCTCCTCGCTTCCCTTCTCTTGCCCACCTCCCTACTCTGGTGCGGGCGGGCGCCGTCGGAGGGAGTGGCGCCCGAGGTATGCTCCGTAGCGTGGCAGCTGGCTCAGCTGTAGGACTGCACTGGGGCAGGCCCTGCCCCTCCTCCTCCTCCTCCTGCTCCTGCTCCTCCTCCTCCTCCTCCTCCTCCTCCTCCTCCTTCTCCTCCTCCTCCTCCTCCTCTCCTCCTGCTCCTCCTCCTCCTCCTCCTCCTCCTCCTCCTCCTTCTCCCCCCCCCCCCCCCCCCCTCCTCCTCCTCTTCCTCCTTCTCCTCCCTCCTCCTCCTCCTGCTCCTCCTCCTCCTCCTCCTCCTCCTTCTCCCCCCCCCTTCCTCCTCGTCCTCCTCCTCATCCCCCTCCTCATCATCATCAGGGGCAGGCCCTGCCCATCGTTTCAGGCCAGTCGAACAGTGCATCCCTGGAGGCAGCATTCCAAGTTGCCTGGTCGTGTTTGTCGTTGTGCCCATGGCGCTGCCTCAGTGATCTGGATTGTGCTTGCATCCCGTAGCCGTCACAGTTTCCGTTGCTGGCGTT